TCTCTCTCTCTCTCTCTCTCTCTCTCTCTCCTTTTCCCTCCTCATCTCCCCATCTCTGTCTCTCTGTCTCACTTTCATTCTCTCTGTCCTTCCCGCGCCTCCCACCCCCTCCTTTCCTCCCACATAAAAACCACCAAGTACAGTCCCTGACTTCTGCACCACTTTGTCAGTACATGTCAGGAGTGGTTTCCACAGATGGGGAGGATTTGTTCAACGTGTAGACATTATAACTTACTGAAAGGGGTGAGAAAGTGGATGTACGCAGCAGTAGGGGAACATGTCATTTTAGCTGTGTGTGAGCGATTATGCCTGGTTCAGACTCCTATGAATTATCTCCAATTGTCATGCTCTCTGCAAAATTATGTGTCATTGTTGACATTTCTATGTATAAAAGAGAGAGGAGGCGTTGAGAGCAGACTGTTTTGTATTTTGTTTTTGGATTTGGTTCTTATACTCATAAGAAATGTGTGGAATAACTCATGGGTCGAATTGTTTTAAGTTTTGAAATTTTCCACTACTTTGTTCAATTTCTTTTGGGCTTAAAGGTAGAGCTATGTCTTGATAATCTATGATGTACGTAGTTTAATAAAACAATAGTCTTTACATGTACGTAGTTCAATAAAACTATAGTCTGTACACGTATGTAGTTTAATAAAACAATTATCTGTACATGTACATGGTTTGATAAAACTACAATAGTCTGTACATGTACGTAGTTTGATAATACCAGTCTGTTCTTGTACGTAGTTTAATTAAACTATATTCTGTACATGTACATGGTTAAAAAACCATGGTTTGTACTTGTACATGTTCATGGTTTAATAAAACCTGGGTTGTTTCTTAGCTTATTCAGATTGTTTATAGACTACTTTATTGCAGTATAGTTTACGTTATCTTGTTGCAAGCAATATGTGCAGCTTGTTTTCGCAATAAAGACTTTTAGATGCAGCTATAGTATACCTGTTTCAATTTTTCTTCTTAGTGATGAACTTATTTGTTGATAAAAAGATATAAATTCCTAGACAGTTTGTGAAGGTATTTGGAGTTGTAGCTTATGGCATTTCAACACATGATGCTCACATTTAGTCAGTAAAAATTAAACTTTGTTGTTTTATAAATGTAAATTTGAGTTGTATTTAAATTAAATGTGATGCACATTATTTGTTTCTGTGCCAGTTGTACGTGTGAGCTGTGAGAGATTCCCCCCCCCCCCA